AGAAGCAGAATTATAGCTGAAAAAAGCTAGAATTAGCAAAAAAAAGAAGCTAAAATTAGCACAAGGAAGTTGAAAAGAGCAGAACCAGGATGTTAGAAACAACTCCGTTCATTTCAGTGGAAATAATGTGGCCAAAAAGGTGAAATAGCTGAAAATCTATAAACAGCTGAAACATCAGAAGTCATGTCCTGAATGGTTTGATGTTAAAACAAAATTACACAATGTGATACGTGCCAAAAAAGATACGGAAGAAAAAATGACCTCAAAGGAATAGAGAATTTTAATTTTTTTTTAAGAAAAACATGTTTTTTAAATTTTACAGGACAAAACGACTGTAAAAATAAAGGGTAGAAATAAAAGCAGGTGTTGTAATAATGAGGAGCAGTTTAGTGGCGTTCACATGCTCCCAGGTTTCTGCACAAACTAAAATATGCACGTTAGCTTCACACTGTTTTCTTCTAATTGTGGTCGAGGGGAAAAACAACTGGCTGAGTTTGTCGTCACATTCTGCAGCAGATTGTGTCAGATGTGAGCAACACCCACAGGTTTGCTTCTGCAAACAGACCTTTGACCGCTGCATGGAGAGAGGACGTTAACCAACGAGGGATTAGTTTAACAGCAGCTCGTGTTGAATAACTTCAAAATAAAAGCTTAATTATTTAAAGGTTGCTGCTCAGTCTCTATTATTGATCACGTGAGTTAATGAAATAAAATCATTTCTAATAATTAGGAAACCAGAACTGTTGCTGCAGCTTCTGTAACAAGAACTGAAAACAGTTATTTAAGTTCTGTTAGAAATAATTCTCTCCGTCTTGCTTGTTTCTGATCTGCGTCACGTAAAACGACCAGTTTCATAAGTCACAAGTTATATTCTGGTAAAACTGGAAAATATGTTTCACCAGGAAACGTGAGCTGGTTCCTGACGTCGAGTCACCACTTCTGCTTTAGTCACACCTTAAACACACACAGTGTGTAGCGCTGAGCTAATACATATATATGCTGATAGCATCGGAGCTAACGCTAAAGCTAACAGGTTAATCTGAGTTTCTTCTTCCATGAAGCAGCTCTGTTGTCCTCCATCCATATTTTCAGTTCCAGGCTGAGTCATTTCTACCTTCTCCTCTCTGTCAACGCTCTCTGG